GGACATCATGCTTGGGAGGGTGGAGGGACAGCGCAGGAGGGGAAGGTCCTCTATGAGGTGGATTGATTCAGTGACTGGGATAATCGGGATGGGAATGTCAAGAGACAGTGCGATTGGCACAGGACAGAGCAGAGTTTAGGGCTGTTGTACATAGGGTCGCTATGAGTTATAAGCGACTCAAAGGCACATAATAACAACAAACAACAATCTACTTTAGGGTGTGGTATTTCTCTGGTCTGTCCCTCTGCCTGTTTTTCTCTCTGAAGACCAAGGAATCCCGCCCGGGAGACCCCTTAATAAAGCTTCTTTAGCTTCCTTTCTTTCTCTGGTCCCTTCCTTGAGTCCTTGGCCTTAGGTCCAGTGCGAAGACTTAACATCCTTGAGGTCACATTCTTCTCATAGAGTCCAGATTCTTCACGTTCTATTCCAACAAACTGGTTTTTGGTTCATGTACATACAGGTTCCTCATGAACACAAGGGTTCTCAAATTCCCATTCTTCTTAAGTTATCTACAATTTATTATGGTCTAGCCTTTGGATATTCAACAAAAGACATCTCTCTTTCTTTTTGGTCCTCTCTGCTTTCAGTTAAATCCATCTGACATTAGAATTGATAAATTCTCTTTTCCATATCATTTTCTGAATCCAGATAGAATTTCTGGCAGTTCCTTGCTCCAGTCTCCTGGTTCCTAATATCTTGAAAAATCGGGCTGTGAAAACCTTAGGGGGCACAGTTCAACTCTGTCACCATTAGGTGGTGTCAACTTGATAGCAGTTCAGTTTTGAGAGAGTGTAAATAGAATTTTGTCCCTGTAACCTGACGTGACAAAGCGAACTGTCCCAGGTAAAGAACCTATCACCCAAGAGAATTCCAACTGACCCAAACTCCTGCTGGGGCAGTTTCTGACTGATACCAGGGATAGGCTTCAAGACAAACATAAGCTTTTAGATTAGAGGTGTTTTCTCCTCTAGGCACGTTCGGTTAGCTTCTAGAAATCACTTTCCAACACTCTTCGGAATCGCCATACTCGCTCTCTTTTCTTTGCTCTACTAGGAAAACCTACTACTTCCGCCACACTCAAGATGGCTACATCTGGATTAGCTTTTCAATTCCAGTTCTGGGCGGCCACGCCTACAAATGTAGTGACTTCCGCCACTCTCTGCGGGGCCGGTAGCATTTCACACGGCCTTGCGGCACTCAAGACGCCTTGGTGTCCTCTTACTTTTCATTGGTTATATTTCTCTGATAGGTGGGCTTTAATTTGATCGACGGATGTTTTGACCAATGAGCGAAGAACTGTGGCCAATGAAGCACTAGAACTGGAAAGCCTCCCCGGTGTCTGGGAGGGTGTTTTGACCGGGGCGGGGTGCAGCAGAGCCGGAAGCGGGAGGGCAGATCGAAACAGGAAAAGACGGGAAGAAGGAAGAAGAGGGAAAAGGAGGAGAGGAAGGAGGAGAGAGGTGGTGGCGGCGCCGTGGCGGAGGAGCAGGAGCAGGAGGAGGATGGAGAGGAGAAGGCTCCTGAGTGGCATGGCGCTCCTGCTCCTCCAGGCGCTGCCCAGCCCCCTGTCAGCCAGGGCTGAGCCCCCGCAGGTAAGGAGGAGGGGGCGTCCTGCCCAGGCTGTGGGCCTACGGGGGTGGTCGAGGCCTGGCTAGAGAGGGCCAGGGACAGCGTCGCTTCCCTTGCTTGAGGGATCTCTAGGAATGTTGTCGCCAGGAGTGGAGGGGATCCCTAGAAGGGCGCCCCTGGCTGCTGTTGAGTGGTTTTAAGGGGAGTTGAATCAGCTCGTTGTTTATCTGATGGGCATCTGTGATGGTTTTGGTATCTGGGAATTGCAGAGGCATGATGCCAAGAGAATGAGGGGCCTTTGAGACGGGCCATTAGGGCAGGTGGGGTGAGGTGGCTGTGCCAGGATAGTGGTGCCCAGCTGGGGCATGTGGGCGCATTCTGTCTCCCATTGGGACAGGTCTCCGAAGCAGGCAGGCCATGTGTACGTCTGTGTGTACACAGGTATAAAGGATATAGAGCTAGACAGGGAGGGTATTATTTCAGGCTGCACAGGAGGGAAAGTTCTGAGGGCATTTGAGCCCCGTTTTTAAAGGGTAGGCATGGCGCCTTTAGTGGTTGCTTGGGGCAGGACTCTTGGAACGCAGGTGGGATGAAGTAGACCCAGGTACCCCAGGGGGGAGGGCGCCCTACAGCTGTACCAAGCTCTTCTTTTAGGATGACTGGCCTGGGAGAGTAAGTCGCTGTTTGTGTCCTGCTTAGGGCTTTTGAGCAAGGGAGGATTCTGGGGCCAATAAGATCTGTAAATGGAGCACCTGAGCAGTTCTTGATAGGTGGCTTGCTTTTCACCCGTGCAGAGGACCTTGGTGGTTCTGATTCCAGCTCCGGCTGGCATTTCGAAATCTTAATGGGAATGTTACACTTGGTGCCAAGTTGGGTGGGGTGCAGTGTGGGAGGGAGGGAATCACTCCTTCCCTTTCATTTGGCAAGGCTTTACCGTTCTATTTTCTTCGCTTTCTGTTCCTTTCCCTTCCTTTTTAGAAAGGCACACATGGACAATGAGCATAATAGCAGAATCTATACAGTTTGGAACTTTAATTTAGTGTTATGATCAGCAGTAGAAGCAGAGTGCTAGCAAAAAAAAAAAAGCCTTTTTTTCTAGGAGTTTGTGATGCCTTTTCACATACGCATCCTCTTTTATCTGATAGTATCTTCGTTTTTAAAATGAGGTTAAATCCACCTAATATTAACTATTTTAACGTGCATGATTCAGTGACGTTTTGTACATTTCACCCTCTTGTACAATTCACTCCGTTTCCACCTATCCCTACCTCTGACAACTACTTATCTGCTTTCTATTACCTGTTCTGGATATTTTCTATAAGTGGAATCCTATAGTCTCTGGCTTTTTGTGTCATTTTTTTCCATGTAGTATAACATTTTGAGTTCCATCAAATTGTTATTTGTATCTCTATTTCGTTCCTTTTCATGGTTGATTAAATGTTCTATTTTATGTACCTAAAGAGTGTTGTGATAAGGAATTGTACTGCCAACTTAAAGGTATGTGGTTTGAATCTTCCAGCTGCTTGACTACAGAGAAATGGGCAATCTTCTCCAGTGCAGTTGACTGCCTGTGAAAACCTGTTAGAGGGTCAGCTGTGAGTCAATTCCAATTTGATGGTACACAACAACAACAGTGGCATGGTAGTGACTCTGTTAACCCAGAGTTGATGCAGCACTTGTCAGTTCAACTCCACTAGCAACTTAGTGAAAATTTGCGAGAGGGTCCTCAGAGCCTTGTCCGACTTGATGGCTGTCAGTTTGAGGATTTTTTTTTTTTTAGTGTCATGGTGTGTTTTATGTTGTGTGCTGCTAACTGAAAGGCCAGTGATCCAAATCCACCATTTGCTCCTTTAAAAATTTACTGCCTTGGTTTCCCTATGTGTCTGAATGGACTTGATGCTGTGTGTTTATATATATATATCTCACAATTTATCCATTGAAGTATAATCTTTTTCTCTTTGTTGTTATTGTTGAGTGACATCCAGTTGAACAGACCCACAGCCAACCCTCCAGTTGGTTTTCAGAGGCAGTATATTGCAGGGGAGATTTCCTGTCCTTCCATGGAGCAACTGGTGGATTTGAATCATGTCCTATTGGGATTGCAGTGCAGCTTCTTAGCACTAGGCCACCAGAGCTCCCCTTTTTCTTTTTAGAATATGTGCATCTTGGAAATAGAATGTGGGAGAAAAAAAAAGGGCTCATGGATTCCCTTTCCTAGACCATGACCCTTCAGTTTTATGCTTTATTGAGGCTTGCTTTGTTGAGGTTTGTTTTCCTGGTTAAAACCATAAATTGGAAGGAGAGCTAAATTTTCTTTGTAATAATTCTTGGGATTAGTAAAGTATACCCACTGCCATTGAGTCTACTCCAATTCATAGGAAACCCTAGATGACAGAGGAGAACGGCCCCCACAGGTCCGACATTGTCAATCTTTGTAGGAAGAAACTGCTTCATCTTTCTCCCTTGGAGTGACTTTGCGGTTTGAACTGCCGAACCTTAAGTTACCAACTTAGTGCTTAAGCTACAGCATCACCAGGACACCTTTAAGAAGTTCAAGTCAACAAAACAAAATATAAAAGAATAATGATGAACAGTTGCTTTTGAGTCAGTTCCAGCTTGTATTAATCCCATATGGGTGAGGGTGGAGCTGTGTGCCCACGGAGTTTTCAGTGGTTGATTTTGCAGGAGTAGATTGTCAAACCTTTCTTTGGAGATACCTCCGAGTAGCCTGTTGTTTTTCCTTTGCATGTCTGTTTCTGTAAATATGTCTCAAAGATCCTGGCTCCCAGTAATCATTAAGTGAAGTGGTTAAAGGACCGATTTAGGAAGGTGAGCTAGCTTTCTGAGGCAGTTTGGGTGCTCTGAGGCCTGAGGACTGCCGCACCCGGATGGAGACCTGTGGTAGGGTCACAGCAGATGGTAGGAACTGGATCTTCAGCAGAAGGAAGGATGGAAAATGGCACTTCCTGCAGGGTCTTGGAAGCCTGGAAGGTGGTGAGAGGAGTGGAAGGTTATCTTTGGTGTCATGCCTTAATTGCAGTTTTGTCAATCAAAGCTGCTTGCTTATCATTTCTCTGGTGCTTCCAGGACTTATTTTGGGGACAGGGTGGCTTTTGTACTTTGTTCCATTTGGATGGATCCTAGCATCGACAAACAGCTATTATGTGGTTACAGTTTCTACAGAGAAAGGGAAGCTATTATAATTAGGCTGTTTCTTCCTGGCCCCCTACATACCCTCATAACCCCATCTTTGATCCTTCCATTTACCCCCCAGCCCCAGGCTCATACCCAGCTCTCATTCTTTAGTATATAATAGGTATTGATGGTGAAATTTGTGTTCTGAATTTTAACCTTTGGAATGGATTTTACTATATAATTATTAACTCCAAATCTATCCATGATTTAGTCAATTCTTTTCTCTCTCTTTCCTTTTTTTTTTTGTGCTTGTAGAAATCTGCAAGCCAAGGAAGAAATTAAATTATCAGGGACATTTTGGCATAGGATTTATTTTAGATAAGGAGCTCTGGTGACCTAGTGGTAAGAAGCTATGCTACAATCTCAAAGGCATGTGGTTCATATTTTCCAGTTGCTCTGTGGGAGAAAGATGGGCAGTCTCCTCCTTTGTGATTTACTGCCTCATAAAACCTCTTGGAGGGTCAGTTCTGACTTGATGGCACACAGCAACAGCAGTCTTTTTGGAACTAGACGGCCACATCTTTCTCCTCTTGAGCAGCCAAGTGGGTCCACCAGCTGATTACTTACTGTTGCACCACCAGGGTCCCTAGATTTGACATTGTTGTGTACCGTCGAATCAGAATCAACCCATAGTTGACCCTGTAGCCAGTCATGTCAGATATGACATTAGATGACTTGTTTTCTCTGTTACAAATCCTGTACTGGAGCAGTCAGGGACGTTCATCAACCTACCTCAGTTCTGTCATCAGCAGTGTAGACTTGACTTTCTTAAACATGCCCAAATCCCACTGCCCTTGAGTTGGTGAGGACTCAGCAGTCCTCCATCAGACTTCCGAGGCTGTAATCCTTGAACGTTCTGCTCATTTTTCTCTCAGGGAGCGACTGGTGAATTCCAACAGCTGACCTTTCCGTTATGCCACTCTCTTAAAGATTGCTGCAATTCACAGATGCGGTGTCTTGAATCTGCGTAGTATAGTAGAGTCTCCAGAAAGTGATTGGCAACTGTCTCTTCCACTTAAATTGGGGTTGAAATACATTGAGTTTCTTTTTATTATTTAAATTTTACCATAAAATCTGACTATTATTTAAAATGAAGTTTTAGCAAACAAAACAGCAAAGACAGTTCCTGTTAAGTGGGAATAGAACTGTACTGTATACGTGGCTGTTATTTTGGAAATAAATCACCAGGTTAGACTTAACCCTTTGGGTACGTTAACCATTTATACCACTTAGGGGCTAAGTTTTGGTACGTTTTTTTCATAAAGTGACACAACTCTCTAGAAATACAAGCTTTTATCTTCTGCCAACCTTAAAACTTTGAGTTCGATGGGGCTCAAATTCTTGCTAGACTTCCCCCCACCTTTGTTACCCCCACCTTTGTTCAATTCTGTTGCCCTAGTTTTCCACCTAGAAACCATATTCTCTTATTTCTTTTCAGTTGAACAAATTGGATTTGTCCCTTGTTGTAGGGGACCTTTCAGAGAGGATGCTCTCAGACTCATTGCTGTCATGTCTGAATGGACCTGTAGCTGACCGTCCATCACGTTGTTCTAAACTGTAAATCACATGGGAAGAGGTTGTCCAGCCTTCTCCTGTAGAGCAGCTGACGGAGTCTAACTGCCTTTGAGTTAGCAGCACAACTCACTACCCATTAGGCCACTTACAGGATTTGGGTATATTTGGGGAGAGGTTTTAAGGGACTAAGGATTGGTTCTTTAGATTGGATGTTATCAGTAAAGAGTTAATTCTTTAAGTACTTGTGTTTTTTGTTTTGTTTTTTTTTTTAAATTGGTGGTGGTCATGAGCTGTTTCTCTTTTCCTTGGGTCT